CCCTGTGTCTCTGTGGGAGCCATGATCCCTTGCTCAGGACGAGGTATGAGCCAAGTCGGTTTTTAGATCCCTCAGAGAGGCCTCCCCAATGACGAGGCAGCTTCAGATGCAACTTAATAGGGAAAGAAGCCCTGTCCCACCCACCCCCAGGAAAACGCCTGCCCCTTCCACCAAGTTAGAGGTTCCTGGGGGCTCAGAAGCCGCTCTGGCGCCTGGGCTGAGGTGTGAGGGCCAGCGCTCTGCTTCAGCAGGTCGCTGGGTCATGCCTCTCACGCGCCCACCTCCTCTCTGTCTTACAGGGGACGAGCTGACCAAGATGGAGGATGAGGATGAGCAGGGCTGGTGCAAAGGGCGCTTGGACAGTGGGCAGGTCGGCCTGTACCCAGCGAACTACGTCGAGGCGATCCAGTGACGGGCACCGCTGGGCAGGCCGGCGGGGGGCTAGAGACGGCCGTCCCTGGAGCTCCGCGAGCTGTCGGCCCGGGCAGCAGCACCTCCAGCGCCCCCAGCCAGCCGTGGGGGGCGTCCATGCCTTCTGCAAACGATGATGTTTCCGTTGCTCTCAGCTTCACAGTGTCCTTGACGGCAAACGAGCTGGCCGTTTCACCTGGGACGCGGCCCTCCCCACAGTGCACGGCAAGGCCTGAGCACAGAACAGAGCACAACAGGGAACCTGCCGGGCCTCCCGCTCCCCACTGGCTCCTGGCTGTGCCCCCTGGCTCACGGGTGTACACGCTCTGCCTCCTCTGCCCTCCCCAAGCTAACGTGGCTGTCACTCACTCCTATTCCACTGCTCACTCTCCTGAGTCCTGTCACCTTCAACCTAAAGGAACCAGCTCACTTCCTGAGTGAAGATCATGTGACGTTTGAGGCTGTGTGCGGTTTTGTCTTTCTGTCCCTGTCCCTCCGTCCATTTCACCTTCAGTGCTGCCATAGATTGCCGTATACCAGTATTGACAGGATGGTCTATTTCTGCTGTGCCCGGGCACTGTGCGGATTGACCGCGGGACACTTAGAAGATGACGTCTGGCCTGGGTGTGCGTTGCGGAAGTAACCTTGCAGGACTCGCAGAGACCACCGCGTTTGAAACTATGCTCCCGCTATTCGTGCTTAAACTCTCCTCTTTTGCAAATTAACAGCTCTGTCAGTGATCTGGAAGGTTAGGAATGAGATGACTAACTTCAGGCCAAGGAATCTGTACAGTAGGTTAAAGCGCTCTGCCAGACCTTCGTGTCTTGGTGCGCGTCTGTCCGTATTATCTGATTCTCAGAGAATCTAAAGCACTCCTCTACTGTGTTCATGAGGGGAATGCCTTTTGACAGTGGCTTTAATCCGGAAACTGCTCAAAGCCTGTGACCTTGGGGCATGAGTCCGGCTGAGGGGCCAGGCCTCCTGCCCGGCTCTGGGGTGGCAGTCAGCCAGCTGTGGGGAGCTCATGGCCATGCTGGCCAGCAGTGGGGCCGGCACACGGCTAGCCTTAGTCCTTCCCGTAGCAGAACACTGTAACCCCTCACGTCTTCCCAGCAGTTGCAATCCCATCACGCTCCCTGTGAGCAAACAGAGACAGGTCCCACCCTCAGCATCATGGTCTCGCCAGCGTCCTCAGTGCCCTGGAAGCAGAGGGGCCCACAGGAGGATTCGCTGGGTCTACACAGCACGGGGCGGGAGGCACCCTCTCTGTTGTGTCATTCAGAGTGGGTGGAACCGCCACAGCCATCAAAGCTATGCATTGATACTGTTTGCAGTGAGCGCAATGTCTTGCTTGGAAAGTTGAATGTGTGCGCGTGCGTCATGAAAACTTACCAGCAGGAGTCCTTGTTCCTATGCTACAGAGTACCAAAAATTGTCGAGTCTTTCATGTCTGGGCGTTTCTTTAAATGTATAGTATTTTAGAGAATCAATAAATACCGATCTGGGTGTGGAAGTGTCTCTGTCACGTGTACAGCTCAGCCCTCACCCCAGCGGTGGGCCTGACAGCACCCGTGTCTTCACTGGTGGTTATCAGCATTGGGGCTGGACCAGGCCAGGGGCACGGGGTCAGTTACCAGCATTGGGGCTGGGCCAGGCCAGGGGCACGGGGTCAGTTACCAGCGTTGGGGCTAGACGAGGCCAGGGCATGGGGTCCCTTACCAGCGTTAGGCCTGGTGACACCAGTGCCCCTTGGGATTCCCGAAACTTGTCACTGCACAGCGTAGGCTTCCCCTGGTGGGCGGCAGGCTGGCACTTTCCTCCCCACCCTAGGCCGAGCAGCAGGACACAACCAGCATCACCCTCAGGTCTCCCATAGGCCTGCTGTCCTGAGTACTTACTGTGTGTTGGCCCCCATGCCCTTTACTTACAGTAGCTACAAGCAGCCCTGTGAGCAAGGCGTGTGTCTCCCTGTTTGACAGAGGCAGGAACAGGCCCCGAGAGCCAGAGACGCAGTCATAGCTGGTGGGGGGTGCTGAGTAAAATCCCTAGGGAACCTTCTGACCTCCAGGGAGCTGGGCTGAGGCTGTACACATCAGTCACCAGATCCCAGAAAAGGCTGCCCACAGTAGTGCCTGCAGAGTGAGGCAGGTGCGCGTCCGTGGTGTCACCGTGTCTGATGGGTGACACCAGCTCCCCCAGCTTTGGAGGGGGGCTGGAGCCCATAGGCTTCCCACTGCTCAGGGCAGATGCCATATTCTGCCCTCGGCCCACAGGTACCCACTGGAGACAGCACAGAGACAGGGCGGGATGCGCTGAGCAGGATGCTGGTGCCCGCGGGCCCAGCCGGCCACTCAGACACCACGGTGGAGACCGTGGCCCCGGGGCTAGCCAGCCTGCTGTGGGTTTACCCACTCGGTGCCCACATGCTACACAACAGGCGGCCAGTCTGGCAACTGCAGAGATCCAGTTCCATGAGCAGAACTGCCGTTGGGACCAGGTCTGCAGGGACCCCAAGGGCAGGCCTCCCCACCACCCTCTGCTGTGGGGTGAGGAGGAGATGGGGAGAGCAGGGGGTGCTGGGGTCTCAGGTGGTCCACAAAACAACTGTGCTTGCTGTCGCCTCCCTCAGAGGCCCTTTCAGCGCCCCACCTGATCCCCAAAGCCCCTCGCCTGATTCTACAACCCCGAAGGCTCTCACTGATCCCTGGCCATCCTATAGGAAATCCCGCGGGGCTCTTCACGGCCCACCTGGTCTCCCGTCCTGCCCTCAGGGTGGGCTTGGGCACCTTCCCTCACCTTGGCAAGTCACCTGACCCATGAAGACCTGTTTCCCAGACAAGCATAGCCTGGTTCCTGGTGGGAGGGGTTTGAGTCAGGTCAGGCCACGGCCATGCAGTGACACCTCCATCTTCCTGGGCCCCCAGCCAGGACCCTCAGGGCATCCCTGGCTCCCCGCCTGCACCCTCCATGCTGGCTGGGCCACCAGGTTCTCCTTGCCCCATTCCTTCCCCTCCCCACAGCCATGCTCTGGACAACGTGCCCTTTCTCTCCCTAGACCCCTGCTGCCACCACCCACTCACATGGCCCTCGGGAGTCCCCAGAGCTCTAACTGGCAGGTACCTGGCTCCCTGAAGGTCCCTGTGGATGGAGGACACTGCTGGCCTCTGCGTCCTGGACTTAGCTGTGGTCACCTAAGTCCAGGTGGGCCGGCTCCACCCAAACACTCCAAGCCTGGCTGCGCTTGTGGCCATCATCCCTGGAGGGGACCCCTCAGTCTGTCAGGACGGGGCCAGGAGGCAGACAAGGGCACTTGGACCTGCTCATCGCTCTTGGGGGAAACTGAGGCCTAGTGAGGGGAAGGAATGACTTGCCTATGGTCACAGAGCAAGTGGTTGGAGGTCTTGGGGAGGCCTCTCCTCCAAGCAGTCCCTCCTGGTGGGGAATCAGCTGGCCCCCTGGTCCCATTTATCTATCCTGGTCTGCAGCGGGCTTGACTCATGCACTCACCAAGTAGGTACTGAGTGTCTATTGTGTGTGAGACTATGGCACTGGGACACACATGGAAAACAGTGGGCTCAGAAAGCAGGGGTCCTTCTGACACCAGGTGGGAGCCCAGAGCCTGCTTCGGGGCCAAGAGTGCTGCTGACGGTGTGGGGTGGTTCTGAGGGCCACAGCCTGCAAGTGTCAACAAACGAGGGTGAACAGGGCCTCCCAGCCCAGGACCCCGAGGCTCTCGGGGCCGGAGTGATGCCAGGCTCCTTGAGCTGTGTCTCCCGGCTTCAGGGCAGGGCGGCAGGCTGAGGGAGACGAGGTCGCCTTTAAGTCCCAGTTTCTGTAAAGAGGTGATGGGCCTGCCTAGGAGTGGGGAGTGCTCACCCCAGGAGGCTGTGTGCCCTTCTCTGGGCCTCGGTTTCCCCTGGTGGCCTCCGGATAAGGAGCTCTGTGGGCCGTCCCAGCCAGTGTCGGATTACCTGGTAAGCAAGGTAAGCACAGCCTACTTGTGCTTAGTTACTAATCTGTAGTGAACAGTTTCACATGTTTTTATCACAGCAAAGATTCTGCTTCTATAACGGGACAAGAACAAGAGTTGAAGGCAACAGAGGTGAATACTGTTATGTTCACAGTCCTGCAATGACAGCGGTACCAGTGACTGGGGGATACAGAGATAGACACGCAACTGAACAGGTGGGGAAGGCGCATGGGACGATACCCACGGACACACACAGGTTTGACAAGGTATTTTTCTACACATGCATCTATATCCATAGATACATCCACAGACATGGTAGCACATACAGGGGCAACGTTATGAAAACTTCTTAGCTATAATCAAACACCTTGAGGGAACTGAGGTGCTGGACCTGGGGCCTCAGGATCATGGTCTCCGAGGACATCAAGGTCAATTGGCAGAACACAGTCCACAAAGACAATGTTTTACATCCTACTCTGGTGAGTAGCAACTGGGTCTTAAAAGCTTGTGAGTGCAGCCAGCTACCCAGAGGGACCGAGTAGTTGAACCTGTGGGCTCGGGACCATAGTCACAGGGGACATCAAGCTCAATTGGCATAACATACTACACAAAACTTTGTTCTACCTCCTACTTTGGCGAGTAGCAACTGGGATCTTAAAAGCTTGCAAGCTGCCATCTAGATGAAACGATGGGTCTCTCCTCATCCAGAGCAAAAAAGAATGAAGAAAACCAAAGATTCATGGAAACAATTAGTCCAAGTGACTGGTATACCATGAGATCCTTAGCCTATATGACTATGAGACCAGAAGAACTAGATGGTGCCCGGCTACCACTGTCAACCACTGGGAGGGGGATCTATGTAGGAGATCCTAGATAGAGAGGGAAAACAATGTGGAACGAAACTCAAAATCATTAAAAAAAAAAAAAGGGGGGGGGGGACCAGGTTTGCTGGTCTGATAGAGCCTGGTGGAACCCCTGAGATTGTGGCCCCTAGCTGCCCTTCAGGTCTGGAATTGAACCCACTCCTGTGG